CTCGCACTACCTAGAAAAACTTGCGAATGTTCGAAGTACAGGTACCCATTGGACAAAAGATGCATGGAAGTTTAGCAAACTATCTCCCCGACCCAGTGCAATGTATCCGGTTAGAATCAAAGCTCACGTGTCCGTTATTTGAGGGACCAAATTCTGCCGTAAATTCGCCCTTGGATTAAAAAATAAAATGGGATTTAAGAAAATAAAATGGGACTTTTAAGGTGTATTTTGGCGTCATTTTTCGGACATTTCAATCAATCCTGCCGGCTAAAATAGAGTCTAAGTTTTACCGTAGTCATTGACGTTTGTCTATTCAAGAGTACACGTGTATGATTTTTATCGTGACTAGCGTGAGCGGGTAAGCTTCCTTTCGAGAATGAGCTGTTATCACTGTGAACAATGTTAAATTATTCTTCAGATGACCAGTTTATTTTTTAAAAACAACTAATTTTTTTATTTAAAAAAAATCATGCCGTTTTCGCATCAAAATCCAAGCCAAAATATCGTACTACAACATCAATCTATTTAAATAAGCTATGGTAATTTGAACACGTTGGCATCATCCAGCTTTTTGATTGGTTAATTAGCGATTTGACCTATTTGACCTAAGAGAACATGGCGGATATCCTACAGCATCAAACGTTTATACGAGACCGGAATCATTCGCTTACGATGAAACTAAGTTGACTTTTATTTGTATTTCATAACCATTCAACAAATTTATTTTGTGTACATTATTATAATCACTACTGAGTACAGTAATAATAATAATAACTTTATTACACTACTAAAAAACCTTCAGAGGGTTTTTGTATGGTAAGGAACATAAATACATACAATACATAAGAGATAAAAAAATAAAATGTTAGTAAAATAAAATAAATTAATTACTTTCTGTGGTTTTAAAAATTGTGCTCTTTAAGTATTTTGCTAAAGCTATATTATTCTCCATAATCTTTTTAAATATGGAATTCACATCCATTGTGTAAATATTTATTGAACACTCATCAAACAGTTTTTTTCTTTGTTCTATATAGCCAGTACAAAATAGCAGGAAATGTTTTTCATCTCCTAATGCTTTAGTGTTACATTTATTACAGTGTCTATTTTCTAATTCTATTTTGGGCTTTGTCTTCTACCTAATTCTATTTCTAAGTTGTGGTCACTCAGACGAATTTTGAAAGCATTT